AGCACATCTATTTGATGCAGTGGTGGGCAGTAATTCTACTGTAACCTTAAATCAAAGTCGTCCTAGATTGATTAATATGTAGGTGGGAATGCTGTCGATGGCCTGAAAAGTGGATTTAACCTAATAAAAATTCCATCATTTTGTGACAAAGTTCAAAGTTGCTCTCAGAAAGAGAAGAAAGGAAAGAAATATTGGGAAAATGTGTTTAAAAAATAATTTAATCTTTGTTGATATGCAAGCTAATCCAAAAATACATTCACCATTGAGGAAAAAAAAAAAAAACCCATTCCTAGGGGCTGAAGATGACTTATTTTGGATTAATTTACCATAAAATATAACTTTATATATTGGTTAGATTGTTAAGATTTTTTTTCTATTTTTTTTGATTTTTTAAATTCAAACTTTAAGATCAGTATTTAAAAAATTTATTAATTTTTTTAAAATGCACCAAACCGATATGAAAAGATGCATAACCATTCGTAGAGGTTGAAGATAATTATTTTAGATTAATTTACCATAAAATATAAATCTTTTTTCATAAAGAGATTGGTCAGATTGTTAAGAAAGTTTTCTAATTTTCTTGATTTTTTAAATTCAAATTTTGAGATTAGTATTTAGAAAAATTTATTAAATTTTTTAAAATGCACAAAACAGATGAGAAAAAATGCATCTTTAAGATTCTCTAAACAAAAATTTAAATCCAGTTGAGGCACAAGTTAATCTAAAAATACTCTTGTCAATAGAAAAGAAAATGAAAAAAAAAAATTAAACATTCCTAGTTCTTACTTGTGCCAATCATTTAGAAAATGTACTATCAGTTGGCACCTAACAAACGTCCATTGACACCGGACTCTTTCCTCATTGTCAAATATATATATATATATATATATATATCGCGTTTATTTAGGTTTAAACAGTTTTTTTTCTCCTATTGATTTTAAATTTGGATGCTACGAAATCGAATTAATATAGTACTGAATTTATTAAATATTGAAATTAAACATTTCTATTTCTTTCGAGTGTATGTATTATTTAGATAGTATTTGATAAAACTTAAAATTAAATATTGAATTTATTAAGTATTAAATTTTAAGTACTAAATATATTCCTTACAAACTATTTAGTATTTACTGAAAAGTAAGTGTTGAATATAATAAGCTTATTTAATAAGTATTGTTGCTCGAACATATTAAGACTATATATATTATAATTTTAACCTTATAATTGTAATATGATATTTTTTTAACACAAATTAAAATATATACATAGATGCGTTTGTGTGTACAAATAAATAAATAAAAATTAAATAAAAATAATTATTAATCAAAATTAAATACAATTTAAGATAACATTAATTGACGTTTCGATTTTGGGATGTTAGCACCGATAATGAGAGAAGATTTCCTTTGTGTTTAGCAATGATGATATTAGAAATTATTTTTCAATTGGTTTGTAATTCTAAAGTCATAAAAATTGTAATATACATGATAAGCAATGATGATATTAGAAATTATTTTTCAATTGGTTTGTAATTCTAAAGTCATAAAAATTGTAATATACATGATAATTTTAACCTTGTAATTGTAATATGATATTTTTTTAATACAAATAAAAATATATACATAAATGTGTCCGTGTATACAAATAAATAACTAAAAATTCAATAAAAATAATTATTAATAAAAATTAAATACGATTTAAGATAACATTAATTGACATTTTCATATTCCAGGATGTTAGGATCGATAATAGAGAAGGTTTTCTCTGTGTTTAACAATGATGATAGTAGAGATTGTTTTTCGGTTGGTTTCTATATCTAAAGTCATAAAAATATATAAAGTTAATATAGTCATATTTGAAAAGTTTTAATTTTTTTTTCAATTGAGCGTGTTAATCAAAAAGTAATAAGTTAAAAACTTTAACTCATCCGATTAAGTAGATTTTTATTGAACTTCAATTTTTAATATGAGATTATTTAAGTTATCAAATAAACTTTTTATATTAAATAATACAACTTAATTTTTTAAGCTACTTAAATAGGTAATAAAAAAGTTCCACAAAAATTGAATTATATAGACAAATTATATTAATATTATATTGAATTTATTATGATGTTTGAGTCAAATTATGGAGTTTTTTTCGAGTAAGAAAGGGCTTGCTATTCAAACCTATAATTGATATTAATATATCCTCACCAAAACACATTTAATGAAATTGATCAACTAAATATTTTTTCCCCTTTATGATAATAATAATCATATCTTGGAATCAATTTTCTCACCAAAACTAATGTATTAACTACTTTTCATTAAATCACTATTGTTGGAAATATAAATTAACCATCATATCACATGATTTCATTATTATTCTTTTTTTTTTCAGCAATTCCACTCACTACTGGCATTTATGTTACTATAATTAATTTTTTAAATTTTGTGGTTCATATTCTTTTATATATATATCTATCCTGGTCAAATTAAATTTATGAAATAAATATAATTAGTTACTGAATATTTTAGTTTATTTTTTGTATCCGAATGCTAATACTGATTAGAGAATATGAAGACAATTATTAAAAAAAATAATAATAATAAAAACAGAATGCTGAGAAGGAATAAGCAAGATTGAAAAGCATGTATAATGGCCAATTCAAGGGTTCAATTGTTTAAGTTTTTAACACTTGTTGCAACAAAAAGCATGATTTAGGAATCAAAAGCATGAAAGTAGAGGATCTGGAAGTCATTTTGAAGTATAAAAATTCTTTTGTTTCCAAAAAAATTTAAAAGATGTTTCCGATAAAAGTACATGTTTCAAAACCCCAGGCTACAAACGGTTAATTTTCCTTCGTTTCTTTTTTTTTTAAAAAAAAAAGAAAAAGAAAAACGAAAGGTGATATGGATATTGAAGTGGATACTATGCAGCACAAAGTACCTTAGTATGATAAATTAGTTTGAAAAAACCTTATTTTGCAAAAAAAAAAATTAAAAAGTGCCATTGCTTGAAAAAAAATATATCCTTAAGTAAAGCCACTGCAAGATAATTTATCATTAAGATTTCATTTGTGTGTCGGAAAGTGATTTTTTGAAAAATATTTTTTAGTGTTTGGTGAGATCCTAAAAAATAAGTCAGACGAAAAGTATTTTCTAGTAAAAAAAAAAAAAAATTGAGAAGGGAAAGTGTTTGTCACTCAAACTAGCCTGGAAAAACACTTCTATTTTGCATGATGTTGTATGTTGTGTGTTAACATTATTGTTTATGCTTATATATTATTATTTTGAACTATTTTGTACGTAGTTTGTTATTCATCTTTTTTACTATTTTTTCCGTTTTATTTTTTTATTGATTTAAATATTTCACTTGCAACATGAAGTATAAAATAAATAATAATTCAATATAGTTTATTAGACTCATGGAACAAATATTTATTTAAATATTTTATTTCAGTTATGGAAATTACTTTTCGTTTTGTATATTATTTGTTAAATTATATAATTAATTTTTTTAGTAAATTACAATATTCATTCAAAAGTTTGAAGATCTGTAAAAAAAATCTCCTATTATACTAAAAACTTAAGAAAGGAACTCGAAAAAAAAAAGAAATTAAATTGAATAGTAAAATTAAATATTTTTCATGTACTAAAAAACATAATAAGCTCATCCGTGTCCTCATAATTTATTTTCTAATGAATAATGAAGTTTTTTAAAAAAAATTGATGACTAAAAGATTCTATAATTTCTTTAAAAAGTTAATAACTCAAAATTTTTAGTTTCTAGCTTATTTCCATTGCGCGACCAAACACCGAAAAGTAATTTTCAATTTATTTTTCAAAATACCATCAAATATCGGAAAGTAAATTTTTTTTTTATAAAAAAAGTGAGTTTCCATGAAATTCACTTTCTGAAATGAATTCACTTTTAATTATGTAGGTGACCATCGGGTCATCCCACCCGAGAGACAGTTTTTATTGGTGAAGATGGGCCTTATGCAACAATGGTAGCCCACTAAAAACTTCATTCCTAGTTAAAGTGGGCAAATACTCAAACAAATCAAAGCCCATTAGCTAAAATAAAAGCCCAACGTTCTTTTATAAACTAAATAAGACGAGAATTTCGGTTTGGATCCAAATTTTGCTTTCCCAGCTAAGAAATCGCAAGGTTGATGAGAGTTTTAACCCTAAATAGTGATTTTGAAAGTGAATTTGGTGTTAAATCTGTTGGTGATAAGAATTTAGTATTTTTTTTGCATTTAAATCCAAAGATTATGCTGAAGTTAATGGGAAGATGAAGGCTAATGTTGGTTTTAATTGTGATTATGAAGGTGAGTTTGGTTAGAAAATGGAAAAAAACACAATGGGATAAGAACTTTATACCTCATGGAGTTAGTTTTGTGAAGGTGGAGATGATGAAGATGGACATGGCGATGGAAATGAGAAATAAGGATGTAAATGGCTACAAAAAAGTTTTTGTAAAAGAGTCCATCCTTTTTTCCCCCTATTTTTAGCTAAATTTTCTTTTTTAAAATTTTTTCCACATAGTAAATTAACATGACATGGTACACCACATGAAATTTTTAATGTGAGGTGTTAGTATCAATGGGAAAATTGATTGAAAAACAGTCAGAACGATCACATTAAAAAAAAAAATTGAAAATATAGAAAGAAGTTGAATAAAAAAAAATTCAAAGATCACATTAAGAAAATCAGAAAAATAGAGTGAGGTTTTATGCAACTAACCCAACAAACAAGGCCTGATTAATTATCCAGGTGACCTTCCTGTCATCCCCCTCGAGAGACACTTAGTCTCGATCAGAGAAGATGAGCCTTAGGCAGCAATTGTAGCCCACTAAAATAATTATTCCTTGGAAAAATGGGCCAAGTTCTCAAACAAAATAAAGCCCATTAATTAAAAAAGCCCAACTTCCTTTTATAAACCATCTACTGATAACCTGAATACTGTTGCTTCTCTGGTCGCTGATTCTCAGCTTCTCATTTTCCATTTCCATGGCCACAATCAACCTCTCTTCACTACAAACCTCTCCTTCTCTTCATTTCCTTTCTTTATGTTCTTCCCAAAATACCCCCACTCTCTCATTCTATTCACACTCTAAACCCTTCCCTACCTTCTCCTTAAAACCCTTTACTGCAACAGTTAAATTCAAACCTCGCTCTTTCGTTATTCCTGCAGCTTTCAAACCCCTCGCGGAGACGGAGTTAGTTACCGTCCCATTGACGGAAAATGAGTTCAATTCAAAGATGCCGTCAGATTGTGGCATTTATGCTGTTTATGATAAAAATAATGACCTTCAATTTATTGGTATCTCACGGAATATTGGGGCCAGCGTTTTCTCTCACCTGAAGTCCGTGCCGGAGCTATGTAACTCTGTTAAGGTAATATTTTTCTTTGTTTTTTGTTTCGTTAATTGGTTGCCCTTTTAGCCCTTTTGTCATTTGTGATAATTACGATTGATACTCTGTTAATCTAATCTTGTACTGTTATTATATTATTTAATGAATGATTTAGTTTATAATTTTTGAACTTTAGTAACAAAGTTGCTTAAATCTTGTCTTGAGAAAGTTGTTCTTAAGTCAAAATTTGGGTTGGCTTGATTATGTGGCACAAGATTTTTTTTTTTTATATATTTTTTTTTCGAACACATGGCACTAGATTAATTTAGAGTTCTAATGAGTGAATATTGAATACAATAGCAATCCAAAAAGGAAAAGATTTGATGGTTGATAACGGAAATCTGATCGACTGGTTTAAAAAAGCTAGAATTTGTTCAAGAACTATGAGTGTGGAGCTTTAGTTATCAATGGAAAAATGAGCTTGGACAATTTCTTATTGATACAAAAGTATGGTTGAGTCCATAGTTTTAAATAGTGGTTGCAGTTGAAAAAACGATTGCGATCGCGGGTAAAATAACGATCACGGCAGTCAATTGTGTGAATACATTAGCAATTGATAATAAATTTATTCTAATTCTTATTTTTTGATAGTTTTACTAATTAAACATAATAATAAGTAATTATATCTTTAATAGTTTAATAACATATAACAATAGTTAAATTTATTATAAAACGTAATTAATAACAGTTCCAATAAATTAATATCACATAAAAAATAATAAAACACATTATAATTTAAGTAATTATAGGAGAAAGAAAGCAAAAGAAGGCAAAAAAAAAAAAAAAATGTCCCTCTTTTTATTAGTGCCTGTGGGAGAAAGAAAGCAAAAGAAGACAAAAAAAGTTCCTCCTTTTCATTAGTAATATGCGGGAGAAAGAAAGCAAGAGAAAATAAAAAAATGTCCAATTGCATTTCGGGCTTTTTTTTAGCATTTAAAATTTTTTATATATAACGCCGTTATATAACGGCTAATAACGGCGTTACATAACGGTAAAGCTGTTATTTGCTGCTATAGGCTTGAAACGGCTTTGAGGCCCTTATAACGCCGAAAAACGGTAACGGGTTGCCCCGTTACCGTTATATAACGCGTAACGGCCGTTATTTAAAACCATGGTTGAGTCTGCTAAATCCAGCTTCAATATTTGAGTATTTAGTTTTACTGTTTGCATCGAAAGCTTCTGTGCTCAAATTGTAAAAAACTGAGTCGTTCTTTGCCCATATTGTTCGGTTCCCCTCCGTATCATTGTTTTTTACCCTTAATCAACTTCATTTGGAAAGCCAAGGCCTTGCAAAATTAAGGCCTTTAGTTGGAGAGTGGTGCTTAGGAGGATAGCATTTGGGATTTCTTAAAAATTAGAAGACCTCACTAAGCTTTGTTTCCTAACGTGTGTCATGTGCTATGCAAATAGGGAAATTGCTGCCACCTTTTTCTGCATTGCTCCATGGCATGGGAAATGTGAGGCATTTTTTTTTTTTTAATTAGCAGTGAAGTTGGGGTCTGTCTTAACAAGGTGGAGGATCTATTTTGCTGCACCCAACAGGTTTTGGGAGAAAGAAAGAAACAGGTGTTATGGAATTTTTCAGTTTTGCTATAATCCAGTGTTGTGGGTGGAACAAAATGATAGAATCTTTGGAAGTCATTATCTTTCTAAACAGTTGACAGAAATGTCTTTTTAGGTTTCATTTGGTGTACTGCATCTTGGGGTTTGCATTGGTATCTCTATTTGACTTGCTTAGAGACAAGAAGGCTCTTATTTCTTGTTGCTCCTTTTCTCTTTTCTTAGTTGCTGTCTTGTTCTTTTATGTGTTGGACGATGTCTTATCCTTCCTTTTGTAAAGCTATCTTTTTATATTTGGTAGTATTTGTTTTCTTTATTAAAAAGGAGAAAAATATTTGTAAAAAACAAGGCACCAAAAGAGAATTGACATCGTGGGAGTGTGTTAGATTTAGCTATATATACCATAAGAAATGCTATCAGTTGATATGCGAAGCTGTGTGATCTTATGTTGGGAAATTTTATTGTTGAAAAGAGATCAAAGGTGCACAATAGACCAAACTGCATCTGCTAAATTCTTATCAATTAAATCATTGTGGTGCATGTTTTTATGCAGACCACTGATTTTGCCATGAGAATTGTTATGTAGGTTGGGGTAGTAGATGAGCCTGATAAAGCGTCTCTGACTGAAGCTTGGAAATCCTGGATGGAAGAACATATAAAAGCCACAGGAAAGGTTCCACCAGGCAATGAATCAGGGAATGTTACTTGGGTCCGGCAACCACCCAAGAAGAAGGCTGATCTCCGGCTTACACCTGGCCGCCATGTCCAGCTAGCAGTTCCTCTAGAAGAACTCATCGATCAGTTGGTAAAGGAGAACAAAGTGGTGGCTTTTATCAAGGGATCTCGAAGTGCGCCAATGTGCGGATTCTCACAGAGAGTAATTGGCATTCTGGAATCCGAAGGAGTGGATTATGAAAGTGTTGATGTGCTTGATGAAGAATACAATTCCGGATTGAGGGAAACACTGAAGAAGTATAGTAATTGGCCCACATTCCCACAAATTTTCATGAATGGCGAGTTAGTTGGAGGGTGTGATATCTTGACCTCCATGCACGAGAAAGGTGAGCTTAGTAGTTTTGTCAAAAAATAACTTATTGAGTTGTTGCAATCTCTCTCTTCACGGGGAGCTGTAGCAAAACAGAATGATAATATTAGAATACCAAGACATTGAGCTTGTTTTACGTTCGGCCTCTTGTTGTAGATCTTAGGCATTCAACTCGTAAGCTTTCTTTATGCAATTAATAAATAAATGGGAAAATGGTTTAATTTACTTCGTTACATTTGACCGAAAGTGCCCAGATAAACACAGAGGGACTCTGCACAGAGTTGGGATATAAATATGGCTTTACTTGATTGTTGTGTTGGGATTGACAGCTGGTATTGTGGTTCATATGTTTCTATTTGCAATTCTTAACCTTACAGTAATGCCTACTTCGTTTTTGTGGATATAATTGTTGGCGTAGCTTTGTAAATGGAGCAAAGGTTTAAAAGGAAGAAATTATCCAAGAAGAAGAAATCAAAGAAATATCATAGAAAATATCCTTTTATTCAAATAATTTAGTTTTTATTGGTTGGATATTTGCGCTAAGTTGCGGCTGGTGCCAACACTATATGCAAAGGGTTGTGGAATATTTTTGTTGTTGAAAAATCTTTTTATTGAATCAAATACGATCTGTTACTGTTACATAAGCATTTTTTATTATTTTTTTTGCTGCATTCAATACATAATCTTACGATAAAGCATATCCTTAGGTTGTTGATTTGATAGCAAACATATTTTAACCTTTGAGCATTGTACATCTTGCTTCACATCGATGATAGGCTCGATGTTAATAAAAATATTGATGAATTTGTTTTTGAATGGATAGAAGTTCATGGTCAAATCCACCTTTTCTTGGTGCTAAGAATTGTGGAATGCCTTTGGCTCTTGTGGATGCTCGGATTGCATCTCCTTACAGAGTAAATGAAGTAGAACCTATTAGAAAATAACATTAGTATGCTTGAGTAATCTTAAAAAAAAAGAAAAAAAGAAAAAAGTCATTAGCCGATATAGAAGGGTTATAGCTAAAGCAAAAGGCCTACACAATTTGAGTAAAAACATATGGTCAGATGCAAAACATCCCAAAAAAAAAAAGTCATAATGATATAATAAGTTATAGTTGGTTGTTTGCTCCGGGCAACAAAAACAATAAGATTTTATATGGATTGACATATGCTAGGTGTTCTTTCCAATCTTTATAGGTCACGACCCATACTCTTCTAGTTCATCCTAAGTTTTTTTTTTCTTTTTTTTTTTTTTGCCATGTAGATTTATATCTTAGATTCAGGTAATTTGTTTCAAATTAAATGAGAGAATAATGTATATATTTGCTTCTACAAAGCTGTGATTTTGTATGTTAAAAATTTTAATTTTCACTTTGAGAAGCATAAATTAGGATAGATATTAATTTTCACTTTGATTGAAGATGGAGGCAATTGAGAGTGATCTCATCTCTTCTTTCTTGATTTTTTTGACAAGAAAAGGGTAGAAGCTGGAGGTTGTTGAGAGAGGATTTTTTTCATTATATATGATCAATGGAAGGCTAGGATTTCTAGGTTAAAAATAAAGGGTTGAGATTGATAATGAGATATGTGAAAATTACAAGTAAACCGATTAATTAATTATTATTTTTTTTTGAAAATGAGGAAAAGCAAAAATAATATTGCATAAATGCACTCATTGCAAAACTAATAAATATTTGAAATAAGAGGGTTGAGAAATAAATTAAAAAGCAATTATTTTATTATTTATCAATAATAGAAAGAAAATCCAAGGGTTGAGATGAGAAGTGAGTGGTTGGAAGAAGAGATGGACGACAGAGATAAACTCTAAAATGCATGCATATGAGGAATGAGTCATAATGTACAATAATTTTAGTGATGCCCAACAGTATATACTAATGGGTCTAAATTAGATTGGCACCCGCACTACATCGCGGTCATGATGTTGCCACTTTGTAAAGGTTGGTAAGAATTGTTTTTTTTTTTATAAGATTTGAAAATTTGTTAGTGACGAACGGTTTGTTAAATAAGTAATTAAAGTTGTTGAATCACTATAAATTGCAGGGTCAATTAGAAGATCGAAAGAAGTTAGATGTTAATATTTTTCTCTTGGTATTTCGTAGTGTTTGTAAGACTTTATTGGAGGCTAGGCTATGCAGTGGAGCAAAACGATTGATTCATGTTGTTGCCTAACTAAATAGTTTTGCAGAATCTAATTAGAACCTACATCTGTTGACATTCCAACCTAAAATGTAAAGTAATAAAATGAAATAACTTTCAAGTAAATTAAAAGAAAAACGAACTCCTGGAAGCCATTATTCTATGTTGTGTTTGTCTACGTAAACAAATTTGTCTTTTCTTCTGAAAAAAATGCTTGCAGAGTGGAGGAAACAAATGTATCGAGACACATGAGCTTTATGTCTTCAAGAGGCAATACTTGTAAAATAAATGCATTTTCATTAAAAAATAAAAAAAATAAATCAATAATTGAAAGGAGACAGTTATTCTTTGCCAGTTGTTCGCCATCGTCATTAAAACAAGGGGTTGCGATAAAGTCAAGGTTAAACATCTCGTTGCTTAGCATGTTTCAAAGGACCTTGAAAGTCTTGATTTTTTCTAGCAACCAAAGTGAGCAACAATAAAATCCACCAAAACAGCTTGCACACAGAATAGAGAGGCAGAGAAATAAAATCGAGTAAAATAGGAAAAAAATATCTATTAGCAATAAGAAAAAACACACAGACCAGAAAGCTGAATTATGAAAGTAGAACTACAATCTATATGTGTGGAGCAACAAACAACAAACATTGCATACAAAGTAATATGTGAACTCTAAAAAAAAAAAAAAGCAAAAGACAATAAGAGAACAGAACAAAACTCAAACCAAATAAGGTCAAGAAAAAAAAAATTCTAAAACAACACTATGAAAGAAGAAACTGATGTGATAAAATACAAAATTCACCTAGCTACCAAAACTTGCACATAATCCCAAAAGTCAAAGGAAAAACGTCAGTGTAAAAGGCAAAGAATGTAAAAGAAAAAAAAAAGACTACCAAATTAAACAAAACACTAGAGAACCAAACGCAAATAGGGGGACCTAAAAGCAAAAAAGGTGCCGAGAATCCTAATTGATTATAATAAAAAAAAAGTGTTTTGTTGAAGTTTAGCAACAAGCGAACCAAGGAGTGGCAAAGAAGATGCTGGCTGTAGAAGCAAACAACAGGCGATACAAAGCTCTACCCATAGACAGGGACACAGAAAAACAGCTAGTAAAAAAAGGCATAAAATAAAAAAGATTGCAAATAAGCAAAAAAGAGTTGTGCAAAAAAAAAAAAAAAAAAAAAAAAAACATCTATAGATTGAAATAGTTGAAAATAGTTGATTGGTTTTGCAAACTTAAAGATACAAATTAATTAAGTAGAAAATTTGAAAAATAATTGAAAATAGGAAAATAATATTAAATTAACTATGGTTAATAACTGAAAATAGTTAATTGCATTTGCAAAATAAATTTATAAACGTATTTCAGAAATAAAATAATTGAAAATAGTTAATTGGCTTTGGAAAACTAAAGATACAAGTTTATAATTTATATCTTTTTAAATCTATTTGCAGATTTTATAAATGGATAATTAAAAAATAGAAAAATAATATTAAATTAATTATGGTTAAAAAAATTAAAAATAGAAAAAATATTAAATTAATTATGGTTAAAAATGAGAAGTAATTGAAAAATAGTTAATTGGTTTTGCAAAACCAAAATTACAAGTTTAAAATATAATTGAAAATAGTGAATTAGTTCTGCAAAACAATTGAAAAATATATATTTTCGATGTAAAATAATTGAAATAATTGAAAATAGTTGATTGGTTTTGCAAAACTAAAGATACAAGTTTGTAATTTGTATATATTTAAATATATTTACCAATTCAATAAATAGATAATTTAAAAAATAATTAAGAAATTATAAATTAATTATTGTTATAAAAATGAGAAAAGAACGATTGAAACATATATATTTTAGAAATAAAATAATTAAAATAATTGAAATAGTTAATTGGCTTTGCAAAACTAAAGATAAAAGTTTATAATTTATATATTTTAAAGCCCATTTGAAAATTTAATGAATAAATAATTCAAAATATAAAAAAAATGGGAAACTAATATTAAATTGATTATGATTTTGCAAAAACTAAAGATAAGAGTTTATAATTTATATATTTTTAAATCTATTTGAAAATTTAATAAATAAATAATTTAAAATAGGAAAATAATATTAAATTAATTATGGTTAAAAATGAGAAAATAATTGAAAATAGTTATTTGGTTTTGCAAAAATAATTTATAAATATATTTTAGAAATAAAATAATTGAAAATAGTTAATAGGTTTTGAAAAACTAAAGATACAAGTTTATAATTTATGTATTTTCAAGTCTATTTCCAAATTTAATAAATAGATAATTTAAGAAATATTTAAAAAATAGGAAAATAAGATTAAATTAATTATGATTTTGCAAAAATAAATATAAGGGATAATAATTTATCTATGTTTGAATAATTTGAAAATTTAATGAATAGATAATTTAAAAATAGAAAAATAATAATAAATTAACTATGGGTAAAAAATAAATAAATATAGGAAAATAATGTTAAATTCATTATGGTTTTGCAAAACTAAATAAAAGGGATAATAATTTTTATATTTTTAAATCTATTTACAAATATATATTTATAAATAAAATAATTGAAAATAGTTAATAAGTTTTGCAAAACTAAAGATACAAGTTTATAATTTATATATTTTTAAAAATATTTGCAAATTTAACAAATAGATAATTTAAAAAATAATTACAAAATAGGAAAATTATATTAAATTAATTATGGGTAAAAAATAATTAAAAAATAAAAAAATGATTTGATTATGGTTTTGCAAAACAAAATATAAGGGGTAGTAATTTATATATTTTTAAATCTATTGGCGAATTTAAAAAATAGATAATTTAAAAAATAGTTAAAAGCTAAAAAAATAATATTAAATTAGTCATGTTTAAAAAATGAGAAAAGAACGGTTGAAAAATATATATTTTAGGCGCAAAATAATTTAAATAATTGAAAATAGTGAATTGGTTTTGTAAAACTAAAGGTACAAGTTTGTAATTTGCATATTTTAAAATATATTTGCAACTTTAATAAATAGATAATTAAAAAATAATTAAAAATTACAAATTAATATTAAATTACTTATTGTTAAAAAATGAGAAAAGAACGATTGAAACATATATATTTTAGAAATAAAGTAACTGAAATAATTGAAAATATTTAATTGGTTTTGCAAAACTAAAGATACAAGTTTATAATTTATATATTTTTAAACCTATTTGCAAACTTAATGAATAAATAATTTAAAAAATAATAAAAAATAGGAAAATAATATTAAACTGATTATGGTTTCTTAAAAACTACAGATAAGAGTTTATAATTTATATATTTTTAAATCTACTTAAAATTTTAATAAATAGATAATAAAAAACATAATTAAAAAATCAAAAAAAATAATATTAAATTTAATAAACAGATAATTTGAAATAGGAAAAAAAATATTAAATTAATTATGGTTAAAAATGAGAAAATAATTGAAAATAGTTATTTGCTTTTATAAAATTAATTTATAAATATATTTTAGATATAAAATAATTGAAAATAGTTAATAGGTTTTGCAAAACTAAAGATACAAGTTTATAATTTATGTATCTTCAAGTGTATTTGCAAATTTAATAAATAGATAATTTAAAAAATATTTAAAAATAGGAAAATAATATTGAATTAATTATGGTTTTGCAAAACTAAATATAAGGGATAAAATTTATATATTTTTAATAAATTTTTAAATTTAGTAAATAGATAATTTAAAAATAAGAAAATAATATTAAATTAATTCTGGTTCAAAAATAATTTAAAAAATGGAAAAAATATTAAATTAATTAGGTTAAAAAATGAAAAATAATTGGAAACAGTTAATTGGTTTTACCAAAATAATTTAAAAATATATTTTAGAAATAAAACAGTTGAAAATAGTTAATAGGTTTTGGAAAACTCGAAGATACAAGTTTATCTATTTGCAAATTTAAAAAAAACATTATAAAAGTAATTAAATTAATTATGGGTAAAAAGTAATTAAATTAATTATGGGTAAAAAGTAATTAAAAATAGCAAAATAATATTAAATTAATTATGGTTTTGCCAAACTAAATATAAGGGATAATAAGTTATATATTTTTAAATCTATATGCGAATTAAATAAATAGATAATTTGAAAAATAAAAAATAATATTAAATTAACTATAATTAAAAAATGAGAAGAATAATTAAAATATATATATTTTAGAAATAAAATAATTGAAAAAATTGAGAATATTTAATTGGTTTTGAAAAACTAAAGATATAAGTTTTTAATTTATATGTTTTAAATCTATTTGCAAATTCAAATATAGATAATTTACCAAATATTTAAAAAATGGGAAAATAATATTAGATTAGTTATGTTTTTGCAAAACTAAAGATAGATTTTATAATTTATATATTTTTAAACCTATTTGAAACTTTAATAAATAGATAATTTTAAAAATAACTAAGAAATAAAAATAATATTAAATTAATTATAGTTAAAAATGAGAAAATAATTGAAAATAGTTAATTGGTTTTGCAAAAATAATTTATAAAAATGTTTTAGAAATAAAATAATTGAAAATAGTTAATAGGTTTTGCAAAACTAAAGATAGAAGTTTATAATTTATCTATTTTTAAATCAATTTACAAATTTAGTAAATAGATAGTTTGGGTAATAAAAAAATTGGAAAATAACATTAAATTAACTATGGGTAAAAAATAATTATAAAATAGGAAAATAATATTAAATTAATTATATTTTTCCAAAACTAAATAGAAGGGATAATAATTTATATATTTTAAAATCTATTTACATATTTAATAAATAGATAATTTTAAAAAATAAAAATAATAATATCAAATTAGTTATGGTTAAAAAATAATTAAAATTAGCAAAATAATATAAAATTAATTATGGTTAAAAAATGAGAAATATTTGGAAATTGTTGATTGAGTTTGCAACACTAATTTATAAATATATTTTAGAAATAAAATAAGTGAAAATAGTTAATTGGTTTTGAAAAAT